CTGCCCCCTCCCTGGCAGGGTTCAAGGCCAGGTTGGACGGGGCTGGGAGCAGCCTGGGCTGGTGGAAGGGGTCCCTGCCCGTGGCAGGGGGATGGGACTGGATGGTCTGTAGGGTCCCTTCCCACCCAAACCATGCTGTGATTCTACGACTGCCTTCTCCTGCTGTGGGATCAACCCTCCCCACCCCTGAGTGAGATCCGTGTAACCAGGCTGGGTTCCACCCCATGCCTCCCAGACCATGCGATCCCACCCTCTGGTCTGCTCCCGGGCAGGCTGGCTCTACCCCCTCCCTCTCCTGGAAGCCCTGGGGCCTAATCAGTCTGCAGCGCTTGCTAAATGAACAAAGAACAGCAAGGAATATCTGTATTTATTCCACCTGCTTAACATGGCCGCTCTGCACCCTCCTGATGCCAGCAGTCACACCACACCTCGGCAGCGCGGCTGGGTCCCCACACCGTACTGCTGGTTTTACAGCACAACGCTCACGAATCTGAGGCCGTCCTCAATTTTGGGGAGGAAACTCACAAATGAAAAACGGCTTTGAATTAAAGCTGAGCTAGTTTCTAAGAGATTCTGACGATGCTGAGTGAAAACTTCAGTATTGGCCAAGTAACTTCAGCAAACGCGGTCAAGAGCTGTGTATTCCACTGGACAACGGGAAAGGTGTAATACTGCAGGGAAAAAGGTGTCTCAAGTCAAAGCACACACACCTGTAAGCACGTAACACTGTCTTGTTACGAGATCCTGCAAAATTAGGGCTTTTTCCCTCCAACCATTAGTGTGTGCCACGTCAGAGCAGTCGCACGAGGTTACAGAGCGTCCTAACGTGGCAGAGACCGATCACAGCGTAGACAGCAATAACCAAATTCTGAAGAGTAATTTCTGGGAAATCTCTCAATCCTGATTTTTCAAAGTCCCAAGCCTTCAGCTCCACTTTATCTTCACGTGAGCTGCAGATCCCAAGCACCCAGACACGGGTTCTCTTCGCGCCCGCACAGCAGTGACTCTCTCAAAACCGAAGCAAAAAGGGGGAAGGGGATGCAGGAGCCCACATTCCCAACATCAGCTCGCAAAACCGCCTTGCTGGGAATGACAGGCAACTGGTGAGCTTGGAAGAGAAAGCTGTGAGCAAACCCACCCAATTCACAACCCTCTCACATCACCGGGAAACGATTTTATTTGACAAAAACGCTCTGGGCTTTGCAAAGAGCCTACGCTTTACCTGCATCTGTCCTCAGCGCTCCTGCTGCCAGGGACACACACAGCCTCCCAGGCTAAAATCCCTCTCTGATCCAGCCAGACCACACAAAATGATGGGAGTTTGCTGGGGGTTGCCTTTGCTTTGTTTTCTCCGGAAAGCCTGGCACGGCCAGCCAAACCCCAGTCTTCCAGAAACGCTGCCAATTAGCACAGACGAGCAGCGAACAAGCCCTCCCCAGCCCCAACCGGTCCAGCACGCTGCTTCCACCCAACCCCTCCAGCTCCCTAAAACCCCGCACGTCGTCATTTTACCTTGTTGCAGTGAATTCTTGGCTTGAACTGTGGGAGACAGACGTTTATGACCATCTTGGCAGCGGGAGAGGGCTCACTTTCTGAGCATCGGATTCAGCTTGTGAAAAAGAAGAAAGAAAAACAAAACAAAGCAAGTGAACAACAGCAAAAGGATCTCGTGTTCAGTGTACGAGTGGTTCCTAAAATACGGTGGTTCCTAAAATACGGCTCAGGTCTGAGTCCGGGAGGTGAAGCCAATATAAACCCAAACGCCTGGATGGTGGAGAGATGGGATGGAGAGAAAAAACTGTTAATAGTGAACGTTAATAGTGCCTTAATAGTTAATAATTAGTGAACCCCTGGAGAAACCTCAAAGAGAAAATGGCTGCTTTAACTAAAAACGTCTTACCTACAGACACACTAGCAATTAGATCTGAAAGTTTATCACGGATGCAGGAGGCTTTAGACACAGTAAAGCCCCAGAATATCACCCGAGCCTGCCGGAGGAGCCGGTGCGGGGTCGCCTGCGCTCCCGGCCAACACCCGGCACGACAAGCTCCGACGGGGCCTCTCGGGGCGAGGGTAACACCGGCCAGCGCTAACGCACCGCCGCCGCCGCAAAGGGAAGCGCTTCTGGAGGGCTGCGGGAGCCTCGGATCTAAACCGAGGTTAAACACAAAGACTGATAATCGGTCTTTAACGGCTCCGCGGGAGCAGAGGGCATTTAACAGCTCTAAGGGAGATTATCCGAGTTCTGAACGCTGACCCAGCTCATTCTTCTGACAATGCTCATTAAAACAACTCCAGCGAGCGCACCTTCTTCCCCATTGAAAAAAAACATGACTCGAATCGGTTATACCGGATCCCTTTTAAGAATGAAATTATCTACGAGGTGAGCGTTTTAACCTCACGTTAACCTTAGTTTCAATACGCCATTGCCTTGGGCAACCCTGCAAATCAGCAACTCGCTGCTTCCTTCAAGAAGGAGCCGCCCTTTCATGATCTTCAGTGGCAGCTGTTAGCTCAGTCAGAATGAAACTGGCCTTCTGGGGGCACGTCGGGCCGGTGGCTGGGGCGCAGAGCGTAGCAGGCAGGTGAAGCGAGCTCCAGAACGCTCTTCTCTTTCTGAAACGAGCAGCGCAGTATCCGAGGGACAAACCCCACGTATAAAAATCCACACAGCAGAAGCCAAGCCTGCAGATGAGCAGAGCTTGGAGGTTGCAACGCCAATGCTTGATCGAAGCCGGTGAGAACCTAGGCAGAGCCGCAGCGGGCCGGACGAGCACCCCTTCTAGCCCAGCATTCGGTCTGACAGCCATCAGGAGCCATTCCTTTTTCCCAGCAGCGAACGCAGGACCAGGGCAAGCACAAATCAACGGTTCCCCAACACTACTTCCCCGGCTTTCTGAGCCTGAGAGGCTTCCACTACACAGCTGCCAGTGAGGGATTATTCAAACAGGTTTTGGAACTGGTCTGACTCTCGGCACGGATATCTCATGGGAGTAAGGTTGCCGCTTTAACTACAGGCTGTGTGACAGAGCTACTGCTTTTGGTTCATTTTGAACCTGCTGCCTGGTAAATTAGCTTGGCCCTCAGCGCTGGTATTGTGAAAAATGGCAAATCCCGTGTTCAGATTTGGGCCCCTCACTACAAGAAGGACATTGAGGGGCTGGAGCGTGTCCAGAGAAGGGCAAAGAGACTGGGGAGGGGTCTGGAGAACAAGTCGGCTGAGGAGCGGCTGAGGGAGCTGGGGCTGTTCAGTCCGGAGGAGGCTGAGGGGGGACCTTCTCACCCTCTACAACTACCTGACAGGAGGGTGTAGCGAGGTGGGTGTTGGTCTCTTCTCCCAGGTAACTAGCGATAGGATGAGAGGCAATGGCCTCAAGTTGGGTCAGGGGAGGTTTAGATTGGATATTAGGAAAAATTTCTTTCCTGAAAGAGTGGTCAGGCATTGGACCAGGCTGCCCAGGGCAGTGGTGGAGTCACCATTCCTGGAGGGGTTCAAAAAACGTGTAGATGTGGCAATTTAGGACATGGTTTAGTAGTCATGGTGGTGTTGGGTGGATGGTTGGACTCGATGATCGTAGAGGTCTTCTCCAACCTTAACGATTCTATGATTCTACAAATCAAGTCTCTTTTCTCCTTTTCTTGGAATGACTCAAGATTCACCCTCTGTTCTTGTTCTCCTTGCATCTCTTCCCTGGCCTGAACTGACCAGACTGGTGCATTCGCATTCGGTAAATCTTGGTGAGACCTTCCCTGAGTGATGGTGAGTGAGGAGAGGCACCTTCACCTCTGCACCCCTGCCAGCTCCTCGCTGTAAGAACTCCCTTCTCCCGAGCCGCTGCCGACAAATGGCCTAGATGACCCACAGAGGTCCCTTCCAACCCCTACCATTCTGTGATTCTGTGATTCTGTGACAGACCCTGCCTACAGCAGACGCCAAATTCCCCCGTGGACCTTGTGGTCCTGCAGCCTCCTCTTTCTGAGCGCTGCCTCGTGCCAGGCAGACCATGGACGGGTGCAAGCCGTTCCTCAGGACAGACTCGCATCTTCTTCCAAACCTAAGGCTGTTACTGAGGTTGCGTTCTAAATCTTCCTCCTTTTTTTACTACACTTCTAATAATCTGTGGCAATTAGCTCTGGTTAATTACAAAGAATTTATCCTCTCACTAAACCTACTGTCAGTTCAGTTGCTGTTCTGCAGCATGAGGACCTACGTATGTACATAGAGATATATTCTACAGGATTTTGTCCTACCTGTTTGTGACCCTGACACAACTTTAACAACTCAGACTAATTTTTCCAGGTTCAGCATCTCAGTAAGAAAATGCATTATTCTGTATGTCCAAGTCACTGCTCTCCCTTCTTCTGAAAAGCTTTACTACTCTCTTGCTCCACAGCAAAGCTGGTCACTGAGTTAGTTTTACCCATGGCAGTGTTTTTTTCACTATTGCCATGAAAATGCAACTCCGAAGGCAGACTGTGGGGATGAAGGGACAGATTAAATGGAATGAAACTAGGACTAAGCTTCCACGTAAAGGAGGAAAGCGAGAACTGGCTGGGCATGCTGCAATAGGAAGCTAAAGGGGCTGGCTGAGAAGCAGGTGGGAACAAGAATCAGCGGGATGGGCAAAAGCAGGAGAGAGGAACGGATCAGAGGGGCGGCCAGGATCAGATGGGGACAGCGAGCCAGGACCCCTCCAGCAAAGAGCCTGGGCTGAAGCAAGAGCTGGGGAAATGGGTAAAAATCTCTGAAAAAACACTAGGACGGGGCAGCAGATGCGGCTTCCTAAGGCTACTGCTGCCCTTACGCCCCAAACTTGTGCGGAGGTCTCCCGTGCTAGCGACAACTCATGTGGTTGTGGCACGAAGGAAGCTCTGAATTTACAAACGGTTTAAAAATACAACATCCATAAAACTGCATTACTCAAATCACTACTCGTCAAAACAAACGACCCACAGATCACGAAGGACTCGGGAGACTATGAAGAGCCATCACGACGTCACACAACCGTCCATCTCTCTCGCGTGCGTGCCTTCCCTAAGGTGGACAAACACCTTTCGACTGAGGCGGTGAAATGCAGACCCAAAGGCCTGTACTCTGTACTTTTTTATGCCAGCAGGACCCTCTGTGGTCTTGGACGAGTCATTTAAAGCCCAGCTTTCTGGAACTAGTCACTAAGCATCTTCCTGGTGTCCTACACACAACTAGGAAGCTGCTGCAAGAACGTGCACAGTGGACACTGAACTAAGGTGCTTCGTAACGCTGAGTATTTGAGGGAGATGAAAGAAACCCAGCTCAGACATTTTAAACCAAAATGAGCTAATATGCAGGATCTGTCCTGGGAGAGCAACCCCCTTACCGCCACCTCCCTTCTCCATCCTCCACCTCAGCACGCCTTGAAACGCTGCGCTGCAAAACAGCCTGAACACCTCATCTGCCTCGGCAGTGGGAACGGGAGTGTCGCCTGCTGCTCCCCGTGAGATAATCCCTGCAGCTCTGGCCAGACGCGCAGCCTGCCCTCAGGAGACATCCCTCCTCTCGGGGACAGCCACCACCTGAAAGCTCAGGGAGAAGCCGGCAACTCTGCCCTGGATTCCTCTGGCGCGCGGAATCCAGACACGGGGCTGCGTCCTGAGCAAAAAAAATCACACAGTGAGCCAAGTGACGGCGGGTGGAACCAGCAGCCTCCCGAGCAGATGTTCCACACAGCTAGCGTTCGCACTCCAGTTCGCACAGGACTCGTCACCCAGGCAGGGGAATCACCTCGAGGTGGATTTGTTGGCCCTATGTGTCGGCAGACAGGGTCAAGAGGATCCAAATCCTCTCTGTCCCGCGCTGCTGAGAGCTGAGCACAAGATATGTCTCGGGCGCAGAGCACCCCAACCTCAGCCCCAGCTTCCACCTCACCCCACAGCTTTCACGCTCTGTCCCGCTCACGCACAGCTCCTAAAGGAGAAACCCAGACAGCGTGCCCGCCAGCCCCAGCTCAGTGGTGAAGGAAACATCTCTGTGTGCTCCTGGCACCCAGGTCAACTTGACTAAAAATCATCCCAGTTGTCTCCCAGCTATCACTGGTCTGCTCTCACAGAGTCACCAAATCCATCCACTCTCATTTACAGTGGAGAAAAAAGTAATCACGGAGAAAAATGAACAGGGCAGTAGTTTTTATTTGTCACGGAAGCATTTGAGGATCTATGTACAAAAGGAGAGTGCGGGACACACGACTGTCAGCAGAGCGGAACTGGCTAACGCAGCAAAGCAGCCCGAGCACGCAGAGCACCTGCCAAAAACCGAACCAACGCTCAGAGACCGTTTTAATCAGTAATCAGCAAGAGGGATGCATCCAGGAGGCCGTGCCAGCCTCCGAGCAAGCACTACGCCGGACTAGCCAGCCCCGCTGAGCAGCGCCGGGTCGAACACTTTGTAATGGAGGTAGCTCAGTTTCTCCAAACGCGTGCGTTTGAGCAGAGGAAACCATTCCCAGCAGGGCAGCTCCACCACCACGTACCCCAGCTGCCGCAGCTGCCGTCGTTTCAGGCGGTGCAGCCCCAGGAGCCGCTTGGAGCAGCAGCAGTAGTGGTTTCGGTTGGACACCTGAATAGCCAGCTTCACCCCCCGAGGCTGAGGATTCAGCGCAAGAGATGGGGGTGCTTTGAGACAGTGCCCCGATTTAGGCTCAACTCGCAATCCGGCATCTCCACCGGAAAGCACAGCCCGATTCCGCGTGTGCGGTGTCAGTGCTTCTTCCCCCCTCTCCTGACCAGGAGTCCTGGCTTCGTTTTCCACTTCCACAGGAGACTGGCTATCAGATCTCCCTTTTATAAGCTGAGTCATTAAGTCATCTGTTAGATTAACTCCGATGTCTTTTAGCTTCTTCTCTGCAGCAGGGTCTTTTGAGTTGAAAGGGATGGGCTGTCCATCCATGGCCAGATGAACCTCCAGATCGCTCGATCTCGTGTGAGGCAGGATCATGTGGTTCTTCACGTACTCGGGGCCACCTAACATGCTCTTGAGAAGAGACACAGCTTCCACGATTTCAGGCCTGACATAGATCTCTTGCTCTGCAAAATCCAAAACCATCTCGGTAATCTCTCGATAAAGCTGAGGTGGAAGGCGGCTGCCTTGGTAGCCTGGACACTCAATTTCAACACTCTTACCAAGGGTGAACAGGTCCTTTTTGAGCTCATATTTACTACCTCTCGTTTTCTGGACAAACTCATCCCTCAAAGCATAGTCTATCAGCTCCTCTGGGAAGCGTTTGACAAATGCCAGGCCAAGCAAACCAGTTAGGAGATGCTCCGGAAACTTCCTAAATTCATGGAGTTTTCTATGCATCTGCTCTACCAGGCTGGAGTAAAACTCCTCTTCGTTCGGAGGTTCATAGTCCAGGCATCCAAACGACCACAAGAACTTGGCGGCATCTTTGCTTCGGCAGTAAGTCACCTTAGGAGGCAAAGACTTGGCTACAGCAGCCATAATGCCTTCGTCAAAGTAGTGCAAGGATGAACAGGTAAGAGTGATGTGCATGATGCCCTGGATGTTTATTGTAGGGATCCGAGCGGGAATAACCTTCCCAAGTTCCTTCAAGAGGGGTAAGTGGTCCATGCGAGCGTAGCGGAGCATTTTAAGCACGTTCACCAAAGCGTAACTGCTCATGTCTTCCATCTCCAGGGAGACTCTGTCCGCAATTTTTCTCATGACGCGGTCAGAGATATCACCGAGGGACTTGAAGAGCCCTAAGCAGATAGCACCCACTTCCTCCAAGGTGAAGGAGTCCAAGTACTTCAAAATCATGTTCTCCACCTTCTGCGTCAAGTCTGCAGGTGACCTCCGGCCTTCCCCTATGATATAAATGAGCTGAACAAACTGGGGCAAAGTGAGGTCTTTCCAGTGCATGTTGGCATAGCTGAACAAAATGCTCAGGTAGGAAGGCACGCTACGCTCCAGACAGCGCCAGCAATCGGCCACCAGCAGCAGCTGCTCGAGGTTCATGTCCCACACGCGCCGGCAGAACTCCTTCTCGCAGGCGTTCAGCAGCGGGTGGGTGGGCGGAACAACCAAACGGACGCAAGCCTTCAAAACATCGATGAGATCGGAAGTACTGAAGAGCCCGATGTTTCTGACAGCACAGCGACACAGCATATCAAACCCGGGCTCGGACACCAATGCTGCATGTTCTTCCACTGGCAGACGACTCAGCTTGCGAAAACAATCTGTGATGGTTCCTGGGCTCTGGCTGCCCTCGCACGTGGCCACACTGTGTAAAATCGAGTCACCTTCTTCTAAAGGAAGGGTCTCTACCGGCTCAAACTTGTCGTAGCTGAGAGCTCTGTATTCAGGCCTCCCCTTCTGAAACGCGCGAGGGTCCTCCTTGGAGTCATGTGTCTCCATTTTCTCCTTTTCTGCTTCCTCCTTGGTTTGTGCCGCAGAGAGATGAGCCGAGATGCTCTGCTCGAGGAGCGGTTTGGACCTGGGCTTTGGGTGGGCATTTCTGACGGGTGGCACAGCTTGAGAAGAGGCGGCACCGACCGTATGCTGAACCTGTGCGGTGCCAGGGCTGGTGAAAGCGTCACCGAGAGCCTGGCC